CAAAATGGAAACATAAAAAATATTTGTTCAAACAACAAAATGAAAATAAATGTAAAAACATAAAAATATTTTTCAAATTAGAAAACACTTTTTTTATTTGATCTTCTAAAACTGCCTGGTTGAGAAATCTGTGCTCTTTTTCCCCTCTTCAACTTCAAGAATACCCAGTACCAAGATAATATATAAGAGGTACAGATCAATGTATTCGATGCACAAATTTCAGCCACAGTTCAAACATTTTTCAGCATGACAACCTACATAAAATTTTGGATATTCACTAGTATTAAAAGGGCATAATTTTTTAATTTGAAGGAATGGAGACTAACAAAATATTGTGTGAACAATAAGAAAATGCAGTTAAAGTAGTATAAAATACTTTAAGGTAAGTGCAAAACATTTAATAATTAAATTGCATAAACAGAAGTTCTAATAGAAGTATTCTACTAAGTAGTTACATAAAAATAACACAGGCAGGAGAAACATTTATAAAAAAATTATTTATTCTTAATATTAACCTAAATGAAAAAAGAAGGTATTTTTCTCTTATGCTCCCATTCTTTAGGACACCAGTGTAAGAGAAGCCAAACATACCCAAAGATTCAACCATAGAGCCACGTCGGCTATCATTGTATGTATTTGTAGATGAATAATCTGCTCTTATAAAATGGAAAAGTACTAAAATAAATTATACACTATCATATGGAAATATAAATTAGCAAATTATTTTATTCAAATGCTCGCTTAATTATTCACCAAAATGTGCATTTAACATAAATTTTAAACAGTGCAATATAAAAAGTTCAATCTGAATTAATTAAAAAGAATTAAATGTTGAAGAAAATTTGGCAAATTATACACTGCTGTCAGAATGCAGCAGATTACAAGACAGATGCATGTTACATAAATTTTAAAAAATATAACATTTAAAAAAAGCTGAAATAATTTATAAAATTTTTTATAAAAAACTGAAATAATTTATAACAAATTTTATATTAAAATATAAGGATTGAGCAAATAATATAAAATTGCCTTAATGCTGCTCTTATAACTCAGCTTCATTAGATCAACATCGGGAGGGAAAAAATTCAATAAATTCTGGAGGTGATTTTGATATTTAAACTGTTATATAACTGTTTTTTTGGGGGGGGGTGTAATATACATTCAATCAATCAATCAAGAATTTCTAAAACATAAATGCTTGAAATTAAAAAAATTTTTAATGAAATATTACAGGAAGAGATGGAACTAAATGTGTAAAATTACTATTTTTATGCCTACAAATAGACTTTTTATGTTATCACAACCACCTCAGCTGGTGTTACGAAATTTTAGGTGGTGTCGAACTCTGGCAAGCATCTTTTAATCAAGCAACATCACCATCTTCATATGCAATTTTCCCCTTTTTCTAACTTCCAACAGTTTTTATAAACAAATTTCAATATTTTTAAACTTAATTTTAAAATAAGCACTTGAGGAATTTGCCAGCAATGAAAGAACCTACGTTCAAATTTATGCAACAATACAAAATTTTGCCATGAAATTTCTATGGAACAATGAGGAGACACGTTTTGTAGACAGCTGGTGTTGCCAAGTCTCTGGAATTCTCAGATTTCTGTTTAAGCAAAAACAAATTGCTGTGTGCTTGGGAAGTAGAATAGAATACACACACAGAAAAAAGATTTGGTAAAGAACATGTTTTATTTAATTTTGCTTATGTACCACCCTCATTTAATGATTAAAATATAAATTTTAAATTGCTAAAGTATGTTTTTTTTTCATATGTTGATAATGTCTGCAGACTTATGACAAATATCATTAATAAAAAATTACCAAGGTGAATTTGTTAATATGTAAGTACCCCATAAACTTCATTCTGACATATTACACTTTCTAAAAAATCCATTTTTCTGCACAGATAATTTGGTTGTGAAGAAAATTATGGATTTAATTTTCCTGCAAATATTTATCCTCTTTTTTATCCTCTTTCTTGTATTCATTCTTAGATGAAAAATGATTTTGGCAAGTTTTAATCAATGTGAAATTTTCTGCACTTGCATAGCGTGTCATGCAAAAAATACAATAATACTGTATCTATAACAGAACATACAAAATTGGTTAAAAATTGATATGTTTTAAGATGCAACAAAAAAAAAAAAAATTCCTTTGGTGTTTCAGATTCACAAATAAATCTGTCTACATATTTTTGTTCAATATAACAAACAGTAAAAATACTTTATATACAAAAAGCAAAACAACACTTCAAAAATATAAAATGTATTCTGAGTTAATCATATAACAGGAATGTTTTCTTTACAGAATGAACAAGAAAAACATAAACACATTTAGAAACAATATGAAATTGATGTACAGTGGGATGCCGAGTCTTATAAACATATGATGTTGAACAAAAGATTATAAGCATTCAAAGTTTGAAGATAAAAATTTTAATCAGATTAAAACATTTAAAGCAAAGGACTGCAATGTTTTAAATCTGAACAAGTTATTCATTGCATTTATAATAGAATTAAAAAACATTAGGGTGTTAAAACAAAGGTTGCATATTTATAAAAACAAAATTTTTGTAGCGTCACTGATCAGAAAATGAAATTTGATCCTACCTGTATATTATATATATGGATTATATGAAATTATATCCAATGGCTAACTTGAATAATAATATAATTAACACACAAAGTAATAATAATACCATAAAATATAATATTTCTAATGCAGTGAGTATGTTGTTTATGCATTTGTAACTGATAACATTCTATCGGTTTTCTAGAAAATACTGATATTGCATTTTTTCTGTAAAAATTTAACCAAAATTCAAAACCTATGTATATATATAAGCCGAAATGAAAAGAAAGGTACTTACATATTATCCTGTTGAATGGCCAAATAGCACGATTTAGCACTAATTATGGATGACCATTTCCTTTAGAATTTCGTAGTAATGACTGTAACTGTTGCTAAGTACCGAAAAATCCTGTAACTTTAAACATGTTGCCATGAGAGAGGGAGATGAGGCCAAGAAAGTAAAATAGGTGGAATACTTTTCAATGAATCGACTGTAAACTAAAATGCCAAATGCCAACAACGATGGTTTAAACTCCACTGACCCAATCCGAGGCTATGACATTTTCTCCAATATGAAATTGTATATGATCCGTGGCATCTGTGCTGGTTTTATTTTCGTTTTGGCAATGAACACAATCAAATAGCATTATAAATAATTTTGCAAATAAAAACTCACTTTCATAAAATGTATTATAATACATTTAATGTCAAATGATTTTTGTCTATAAACCTAAGAAATAAAACAATATATCTGGTTATTTATCACTTGCATCTAGCTAACGGAAAATTATCTACGTATTTTGCAAGATTAGTATGCCCATATATCACTTTAGAAAATGTTCCAAAAAATTCTCGGCTAATAAATAAAAATAATTTTTATAATTAATATTATAAAATTAAATTTGGATGCACTTAACAGGACAATAAAAGCATTCAATAACATCTTTATAAAGATGAATTTTTTGGGTTTTTTTAAATAATATTCATAGAATTTATCTCCATATACATAGTTTTCATGTTTTCAAAATACCATTTCTAAATTTTCAAATAAAACAGATTATATATATTATAATGTTAAACATACAGACTTTCTACTGTTTCAGGATTTTTAGCTAAAATTACTATAATAGTACTTTTACAATCAAAGATCAAAATAATAAAGCCCAGAAATTTAGAAAATTACTCTCTTAAAATTCTTTAATTTTATACATACAAGTTATTATTATAGTTTGCTTCTGAAGCATCCCTTTTAACATGTTTTCAATTTAGAACCTCTTTTATTGTTAACAAATTTGAACCCATTTTTGAAAAATGGCAAAAGTATTAAAATATATATTTAGAATTAATTATTTCATTCCTCTGGGAGAGGGGTGAATTAACTTTTATGAGCTTTACAAAATATACTAAATAAACTATTATAGTATTATATAAAAATTTCATATTATATTACATAACAAATAATATATTTTGATGAGGCAATTTTTTGGGGACCTATACATTTCATATATGAACATAAAACAAATATACTTCTTAAGCTGTTGGCAGTTTTAACTTACAAATAATATATATTAATTGTAAGTTAAAATACATACATAAACAAAAGTTGAGGAATTTCAAAGATTATAAATATTATTAAAGTCGCAAAGTAATGCAAAATTAATTAAATAATTAAGAGATAATAAAACAGAATTTTCAACAATTTGAAAAAGATCATGGAACTTTCAACAATTTCATATATTTATTAATTATGTTATGTTTATTAATTTTTTTAATTGTTTTTGTTTTAATTTTGAATAAATTTTTCCTGTAAGAATGTTGACCATTTCATGAACTAATTTTTATTTAAGTATTATCTCTTTCTTAATTATTAATTTATATATATATATATATATTATTTGTAAATTAAGTTAAAATTAAATTAACTCAGTGTAGATAAGATTTTATTTAAAGTAATAAATCAAATAATTTAATACAACCTGGACAAATTTTTGGAAAAATAAAAAATTTTTACAAATTTGTTTGGATTGTATTAAATTAGTTTGATTATACATCTGTATGTGCTCAATGATAGCTGGCACACAATTTTTTTTAACTATAAATTTTGAATACAAAAATAAAAGCTGAAAATCTTGAATATAGCTTCAATATTTTAGTACATATACAACCTGCAAAAAAACTTTTAAGAATCTCATTATTTCTTCAAGATTAAACATTTAAGGGGAGATTAAAATCTCAATTAAATAAACAAGCATTGACTTCATAACTGTTAAAATATGAATTAATACAGTTACCACAGAATAGACGCACATTTAATTAATCTCATTTCACTTTTTGCCACTTTCCACCAATCAGCTTTGCTCCATTGCAATTTTGAAATTTTATTTCAGATAATACAAATTACATAAAATTTTACTCTAATATTAAATTTCAAAGATTTATTTTTTTCTAACTTAACACACACATTTATGTACAAAACAAATTTCTTAAAGAACTTGAGTTTTCTTGAATAAGAAATTTGACTTCTCAGTGACCTTTATTCAATCTACGAGTCATATAGTCTAAAAATATTATACAGTTTTTATAATCTAAAATTTTTAATTTTCACAGTGACTGAATGATATATTTGTTTTAAAGCTAAATTTGAGAAAGATAAAGAATCTGCATTTCACAAATGCAGAAATTCTGGATTTGAGAAAGTAAAAAATACAGAATTCTGGCTTTATTCATACTACAATCACCCCTGATAGAAGACTTATAAATGTAGTGCCTACATATACATAGATATATTTAAGTGAACATTTGCAAGTGCATATATTAATGTTACACATATTCTATAGCGTGACAATGGTGTAGTAATTTTATATTTGCAAAGCTTTTACTGAGAAAATTTTAGGTTCTTGCTATACACATTATATAATTATCATAAAAGGCAAATGAAGAGTTTTTATACAAGATGGCTGTAAAAAGCATATAACATTTGTAAACAGCGACATAAAATAATTAAACACTTTGAATAAAATAGCACGATTTCTTTTTAGTAAAACAATGGGCTTTGCTTATGAAAGAATCACGTTTAAATAAGCTGCTTTAATGAATCAAAACAAGAACTAAATTTACATTTTACAACAATTTGGATGAGAAATTATTCAAAAGAATAGTAATTCTTTCTTTATTTTTTATTTACTTAACAAACAAACAAACAAACAACAAACAAACAAAAAAAAAAAAAAAAAAAAAAAAAAAAAAAACATTTATTTATTTTTTGTTCCTGGAAATTATTCAGAAGAATAACAGTACCTTTTTTATTTATTTATCCTTACCCTCACTTTGCTACTAAGAAGAATCTTATCGATCTTCTTGAAAGTTATTACCAAAATAGAAAATTTTTTAAATATGCATTAGGCACCACTTTATGTCCTAACATTCACCCAAGATTATTTTGATAACATCAACCGATGAGGAAAATATCCTTCAAAAGATCAACAGAATTTAACTAAATACAAATGTAATTAATATTCATATAGCAGCTCTCTTCTCAGCAATTTCTATGAAATTCACGAATTTCATCATTTTTTTATTCAAAAAGTTTATCGCACGATGTTTTCGGATTTGTTTCAGAAAATGAGTATCAGCTATCTTTTCTCATTCATGTTTCAAATTAAATTTTTTTCAGATATTTTGGCATAACAAAAACAATGTTATATAGAATTCTGCTTTATTATTCAATAATTCTGATTAACCTGGTTGATCTTCCGAAAACTTGCAAAATGGGCTCCTTTGGACGTGACAATCTTAAATCCAAGTTGTTTGGCGATATGTGTAATTCATGAAATTTTTACTCTACTTTGATCCTTTCTGGTGATTTCACGTCAGTTTAAAAATTCATTCTGCAATATTTTGATAACATTAACTGAATTGTTGATCACAATTAACAATGCATTTTTATACTTCCCTATTCAAATAAACGAGACATTGGCAATTCAATAACAATGTTCGAATGATAATATTAACTGCAATCACATTAAAGCACTGCCAATTGTACAAACATCACTAACTATAATGGACCTCCAACTATGGTTGAACACAAATATGCTGATGACTGATACGTTATGTAACAAAAATATCAATACTCAAAAAAGATGAATGCTCACTCATAACCTGTATTTTACTCTAAAGCTATGAAAAATGCTTTGGAAGTTCTTGGATGGAAGTTAATACAGGAATGAGTTATTTGGAAGAATTGGGTCGCATAGCTTTCAATTGAAGGAAAAATTCCTATAATCGCATAAAAGCCACCTCTTAAAGGATAGGGATATACACAATAATGAATTATGGTATATTCTTATAAACATACAAAGTCATTGCATAAAAACATACTTTTAACCCTCTACAATCAGCTCTCACAATTTGAACGGGATATCAAGCTCGCTTCCTACTATGGTTCACGTGAAGAATCACAGGAGAAGATTCCCCCCCCCCCCGATTTTAATACCAATCTCACTCTTTCTCTGTGCAAAATAAAATTGTTTTAGTGTTCATTATTTCAACACTAGATAGCTCTAAAGAGGGGTCCTGAACCAGGGGAAAACTTCAAATTTCAGGGAAGGGGAAATGTGAAAAGCCTTTTACTTAATTCTGTAGTTTTAAGTTCTAAGACTATTTTAAGACTTCCAATTCATGACAATAATATTTATTGTACATAATTAAACTGCGAGGTCATGTTTGACTTCATTCATGATATAGATAATTCAGCTGGCTTTTGGTAATCATCAATAAATGCTGTACTGCATGCTGTTAAATAGTCACTTGTGCAGTTCAGTTTAATTTTACGAATTATTTTATATTTCTAATGAGAGCTAAGTAGACGAAAGCATTACATAAATAAATTCAGAATTTTTAGCCACATACATCACACAAATATGATAAATGAAGCAAAAAACATACTAAACTTGTTTTTGCAAATCATACTAAACTTCTTTTTACAATACATCTGCTTTACAATATATGTTTTTACAATATGTGTTCTTTCTGATTATAAATTTAATACATTTCAGCATCAGTCTATTTTTACACTAATTTTAAAAATTAGATATAACATATTATTTACTATAATTTTAAATTTGTGTACGAAAATGTATGACTTTATTCTGCAATTCTGACTAACAGATAATTATAAAAACATTAAAAAGATAGCACACTGCACTAAATATACCTGATACTGCAAATTAAAATCTCATTACTGTGAGAAAATTGCTAACATTTTATTAGTTTGCAAATCATACTAAACTTGTTTACTAAACTTGTTTTTACAATACATCTTCTGCTTTACAATATATGTTTTTACAATATGCGTTCTTTCTGTTTATAAATTTAATACGTTTCAGCATCAGTATGAATTGTTTGGTAATTTTTGCAGTGAATTTTTAAATGTAAGTAAAACTGCTTATTTATTTATAGTAAAGTAAATAAAATACAAGAAAAATCCAGACAAATTGCTGCATTATATGTATCCATTTCATTAAAAAAATATTTTGCCAGAACATGTGAAAAATATGAGTAGTTAGCTAATGTGAATTTTGGTAGCATTACAGTGTATAGTCTCAAAATTGAATTTTTAGCTGCTTTAAAGTTAACTGTAGAACCACAAAGGCAAAATAATTTGAATGAAAGCACTAGCATGACTAGTACATAGAATTACATGTATTCAAACTTAACCCTTTTGGAATGGGTGTGCCACATAGGCATCAACCGGCAACTTTATCTCAAAGACAGTTGTGTCATATATGAAATGCCGTTTAAACTAACTCTGACAAAAGGTGCACTACATGTGAAATTTTACATAGAACATTTAATTACAGTATTTTTGTTGCCACTAGATACGGTCCTGTATCTATTATGGTGGATTTTATTTAGACTGGAGAATGTTGACCTGCATTCGATTGCAGTGTTTTTTGGAATAAAAGTGAAAACTGTGCGGATGAGTAATGTAAATAAACACTGGCTATGAAGTTTACAAGCTGATATAAACAAATGGTGGTGTTCTTGATGCTTGAATATTTTTGTTTGAATTTTTGAAGATATACATTCTATTGTTTTACAAGCTTTATTCAGTCCTCTTAGAGTTTAGCTAAAGGCTAAGCTGAATATTTTCAGTATCATTTTTTAGCACTAGAACAATTGAGCCACAAATTTAATTTATGGAAATTATTTTCCAATGTTAGGCTTAGTGCAAATTACCCTCCCCACAAAACAGAGCATCCTGTTAGTGTGCCATCCCAAGACAAAGGTTCAGTAACTGAGGTGACTATTGCGAAAATGTTAGTCAAATTTCCTTAAGTTTATTCCAATAAGCAGAACCCACTGTAAAGCATCAACTTCACACTTTGAGCTAAAGCAATGACATTTTACTTTGACAGAACCTAATTAAGCAATAATTTTGTAACATGAATTAACTTCCATACAGCAATGAAAGCATACAGTTGACCTCTGAGCAATGCAAGTTTGAACTCTGTGGCTTATCTTGTCCATACCTTTTTTTCAAATGTATATATATATATTTTAATTTAGAATAATTTAAAATAAGAATATATATTTAACACATACAGCATATAAACTGCATGTAAATCAACTGTTCATGCTAGTGATAGTGAGCCTACGACATGGAATCCCATTTTCGGTAACACGCATAATGCATTTCTTGAGCCATCAGCAGACACAAAAATGATTTGTCTCTTGCAGTGGCCTCGTGACTGTCAACACATGCTGCGTTTACGTATGGTACATTCCAGTGCATTCTTGGCAGAAGGATGCACTCAATCAATGCATTCATTAGTGCTTAGAACAGATTGTTGAACACTTTTAGCTGCATAATAGTAGTGATGACTTTGCTAACAATTTTTCCATTAACAGATTTTTGTAAGACTTAGTTCTCAGCATTAAAAAATAGATAAGATAAACAAAAGAGAATATATCTGCCTATTTATTTTTCTACGGACTGCCCATGTGTTTTGTATTTTCAAACCATCTGGCTACCACTGCTTTTATTACTTTTTCCCTTCAATGTAATAATATCAAAAATAAAAAAGGTATCAGAAATATAACCCCCTTTTTTTAGCTAGGCCTGCAAATCTTAAAAAAAAAAAAAAAAAAAACTATGAATATTTATATGCAATATGGCACCAGAGTTAAGCTACAGTTTTTCTGAATTTCGACATGCTGAGCTCAAAACATTCGGCACCACTGGTTTACACCATCAATAAAGCTTCTGATCAATAACTGATCATTAGAAATTAAGTTGTTATGAAGCCATAAGCAGATTTCTAACCACATGGTAATTTAATCTGCCTACCTATCTCATATTGCTCAAAGGTCATCTGTACATTAGCAATAATGCAGTGTTTTCTTCAACCTGTATACTGGAATGAAGAATAAGGTAATGAATGGCATTGGTCATTACAAGAGCAGAGTTAATTCTGCGAGCAGCAGAGCTGAAGGAATGTATGAAACATCACTATCTTCATATAGATCTTTTATGGAACACTTGCGGCACACCAAGGCACTTGGTTTAGATGGAAATTTTTGTTTTGACTAGTAGATCACTTCTTCCTGAGATCTTCGTTTTTTTGAATAGTTAACCATGATTAGACGTCCAGCCGTTTCAACGACATCTAATGCCTATTCAAATGAATAAAATAATAACAGAAAAAGAACATTTATTAGTAAAAATAAGATTAAAATTAAACAAACAAAACATTTCAATAATATCAACATTAAACAAAATATAAAATTAATTAGTTGCAAAAACTATGCAAAATCAAGCAAGAATAAAACATAAAAATGCGACAAACAAGGCTTTTCTGAACACAACTGATAAGAAGATTCAGGCATTTTTCTTGCTAGTGTTTAAGTTTTCTGATCCCATCTTTGAAGAATGTTACCCCTAGGGATTCAAAATGGGCCTGAGTGCTGCTTTGAAGGTCCTCATTAGTCTGCAGTCTTTGGTCACCTAGACAATTCTTCAGTTCAGAGAAGAGTTGAAAATCACTCAATGCTAAATTGGGGCTATAGTGAAGCAGTTTAAATAGGAGGCAGAATGGGACTATTAACTGCTGCCAATTCACCGTCATGCCTCTTTGCCTTTAGGCCAGTTCGCTGTCAATGCATATTTTTCTTTACACGGCTACATTGTACCTTTTTTTTTTTTTTTTTTCTTTTTTAACTTACTGTACACCAATGGCTTAAAATTTTAAAGGAAAAAGGGCTTCTGTAACTAAATGCATCTTATTAAATTATCTTATTACCCTACTAAAATATACTAAAATAATAAATTCATTAATGATATGAGGTATTTAGTTGAATTCAAATCAATAACTAAAAGTATTCATAATTAAAATGAAATATAATCATAAAAATAATATATAATAATGATATAAAGCACAATGTAGTGATGCTAAGATAGGAAAGCCTAAGATAAATCATAAAATTAACTTTATTTAAAATTAAATGGTAAAATACAAAGCTAAATACATGATGGTAAGGCAACGCCATAAGTTGACCATGAACAAGCAGGAATAGTGAAATAGTGAAGTACAAGTGCAAAGCGAGTCCCTTCGCAAGAAGTTCAAGTCTTCATACTTGCACTACAACAAGCACGCATGGGTATGCATGCAAATGTCAAAAAGGCAAATATTCTTGAGTTATGGTGTAAACCATCACCACAATAATATTAAAATTAAACATAATATAATATTCATGATAAAAAGGAAATTATTTTGAGATTTCAAAATAAGTGGACCATTTCTGAGATAATACTGAAAGGTCTTTATATAATTAACAAATTTGAATGTTGAGTTTTATTTTATATTAAAACTCGGTTTGTTGCAAGCATTTTAAAACAAACTGCATGCAAAAAATTTGCTCAACAACCAAAATTATGTAAAATAACTTCTGCCATTTAAAGAACCAGATGGTCTGTTAATTTTTACATTTCAGCATATTCATTAAATTAAAATCCTTGGAATAATATATATATAATGCTTTTGTATTTACAATTTCATATAAATATATCATTACACATGCCATAAAAAATAACTTGTTAGTACATCTACCTATATATTTATTAATTTTAAGAGATAATGTGCTAATTCCATTTTTAATTAGGGTTTTAGGAAAAATGTGATTTTTTTTACCCGATTGATTAAAATTTCAAGACATTTTGACAAATCATGTAAACATGATATTTGCATAATTTCAAAAATAACATAACAGAATACCTCAGAAGTTTAGCTCTTAATTATGAAACATGATCATTTTGCTGTATTTGATATTGACATAGCTTTCTAACTAATTCTGAGTAATTCTTTTATATACCACATTTGTAAACAATTTTATATATATTATAAAGCACCCTTTATTAAATATTTTATTTCTTCTAGATGGCAAAATGGGCCATAGCAAATCAGCTGCAGATGAACTGCCCCAAAAGTACTAAACCATTAAAGTGGGATGTGGTTGAACATCAGAAGTATAGTCCTGACTCAGTGCTGCATGGCTTGGCTAAGAAGCCAAAGATTCAAGACCAATGAAGTGTTTCAAAATACCATTCAAGCCCATTTCACATCAGTGAGAAAATTCTTTAAACAGGGAATCCAAAAATTTGTTCACCGACATGACAACCTTTACAATGGTTTTATCAAAATGTAACCATGTTTGTATATAACTTTTGGAACAGGTAGAAGCATCTTCATAGTATCATAGGTGATTGAGGTACTGATGAATCTAGCTAATGGTTAAGTTTCCACCCCAGATAGAATTCCAAGGAAGAACAATCATGGGCCAGTCCAAGTGACTCCCGCCCCTACCACCACCGACATATTAATGACGATGTTTTAAACTCTGGTGACCCTGTCTGAAGCTAAGACATTTTCTCCTAATCATAACATTGTTGTCCAATTTGAGTCTCCTCCTTGCAGCACAGACACTATATGCTTACAACTATGCCTTTCCTGGGATTCAAATCCAGGCCCTTTGGTACAACTGTTGGCAACACTAACCACTATCCCATCTAGGCAGCCATAACTTTTGATAATAAATTCATTTTTATCTTCACTCGTCTTTTTTTATGGCCCATTACAGGTTGAAAAAAAAGTCGCTCACAATTAAGGCTTACATGCTAACAGAAGTCTCATAAAGAGCTTTCCAGGATGCAGAAATATCTCAAATATTTATTCCCAAGCCGTCAAAATAAAGGTAAAGATTTATCCATTAATCTTAGCCAGCACTGTTAAAAGCATCTTGCTTGTATGAACTAGAAATCAAAACTATATGTTGCCTCTCAGCCACTAAGATTCCTTTATGGCAAGTGAAGCCTACTTTATGTAAAAAACAAAACTACTCCTGTGCGATAACAGATAATATGACAGATACAGAAAACATCAACAGCAACTGAAAAAAAATTGCTTCATTTCTGAAATGGGGTTGGATGACTCAGTCCAAAACAGATTCACTTTACTGAATGAATGAAGATTCCAGAAACAGCTCTTTTAATGCAGAGTTCCTGTTGGAAGCATGCCAGGAATATGAATGTAGTTATCGTTCACGAACTGATTCACTTTAAGTAACAAACACCTTAATTATGATAAAAGAGCAGAACTCTTGTTGGGAATGTGTCAGAAAAATTCAATTTCCATTTTAGGGAAGAAAAGAACTTTTTTTTTTTTTTTTTTTTTTTTTTTTTTATTGAAATTTTATTGTTAGTTTTGTGTAAAAAGAAGGTTATGGGAATCACAAAACTACCTCTGAAAGAAATCAGTTAAGAAAGTCAGATATTGATTCGATTCTTTTTGCTCTTCCCGCCATCCTTCAAACCATTTCTGACATTTTTCATTAAGGTTATTATTAGTGAGTAGTGAATCATAAAAAGAACCGATTCAGTTCAATGAGCAAATCGGTTCTGATCCAATCCCATAAAAGAGAAATTTTGCCCATCTTGAGCCTGAAAAGACATCACAAAAAGTATAGGAAAAAAAATCTTTTTTTCCACCTAATATTAAAAATTAATTATTTAGATTTACCTAATGCAAATGTTTATTACATATGGGTATAATAGTAATAACTTTCAAAGGATTATACAAAAATTTCATAATAAAATGAAAGATTACAGTAAAAATCTTAAATTCAAATGAATTCACTCCACAGTTAAAAGAAAAGAAAAAAAAAAAAAAAATAATAATATTTTTTTATAGCAAAGTAAATGTAATAACGAAAACTCACTTTGTCTAGCATTTCCTTTGTATGACTTGCTGAAATACAAAACCTCGCTCGAGCTGTTGTCAAAGTTGTTGCAGGAAACCCAACACCAACAGTGGCTATTCCCCCTTTCAGTAACTGCCGAATAAACTCCCTATTTATAAGATAAATGTATAAAATTAATACTTGTACTCTTTTACTCATATTGCATTGCCTTGACATGAAAATACACTGCAGGTTACGAAACAAACAAGCAATAAATACATAAATAAAATCATTTGTTTATTAAATACTTATTCATACATATATATATAATAATAAATACGCTGCAAAAGAAAACAAGAAAAGAGAATCTGAAAGGTTTCAGATTTTAAATTAAGTCCAAAGGGGCATGTTTTTAACATTTTGTGTGTTACCTTTATTTATTATATATCCTATTCTTCGCACTTAAACTATAAAATTCAGTTCAAGAGCAATATCACAAAATAATTTTAAACTGAGCATACCCTTTAGAAATTCCGACACACAGCCTGACGTGCTGGAGATAAAAATGTTTTCTCTGCAGAAAATTTTTTTCAAAGCCATTTGCTCGCTTCGAAATCCTTGAGTTTGTTAATCAAAAATTCATTAAAGTTTTACAAAATAGGAAATCGATAATAAAACAAATTTCAGATTTGGGCTTCCAGATGCCCATATTCACAGTAGGATTACGGCATTCAAAATTGGATGGCTGTAGGTACCGTTGTTTTATCATAATGAGAGAAACATACATACATTTATGCAGATTCTTCATTATTTAATTTCTTCTAATATAATACAGGGCGATAATATTTGGTTACAACAGTTCCAAAAGTGAAACAGACATTCAGAGTGATTTGATGCAAAACAAAAACCAAAGTCCTTCGGGGACAAAGCCCCTTTGGACTAAAAATTCCGATTTATTTTCCATCTGAAATCCAAAGAACTGACAGCTAAATATTAAACTTCCAGACTGTCATTCATTTAAAATAGTTCTAACATCTTTAACTTAACACTGAAAACTTACTTTTTTAAGTTCAATAAAAAATTAAACAAGTTATGGATGCTTTTTCAATTTTCAGAGAAAATTTTCCATGTGGGATAAAACTTGAGAATATAAAATAGCAACCTAGTCCCTTTCCTTTCTTCATTCAATTTTTCTTTGACACATAAATAAAACTACAAATATTTGTATGTAAAAATTTTATGAATTTACTTCTTACTACAGCTTGATACCTGATGACATTTCGATTCTGATAAAGACGGTAGCCTTGGACAAAAGTATAGAAATTATCTTCATCATGGATTGTAGATGCTTATCAGTCAATCGGGTTCTTTTCTTATCATGGTGACTGAACAGAACCAGATGCCTGTTTCCACTACAGCTGAGCTTTGGCAGCCGAAGCTGGTGTGATACCTTTGTTTATATCCAGAGCATGTTACCTTGCCATGTGTGGTAGTAGTTCCACACATGACAATTCTGCCAAAATCAAAAAGCAGGGAGACTTCCAGACAAAAAAATTCATTGCTGGATGGGTACTTAGTGGTTTGTTAGTTTAGTAATATTTCTGCATAAATCACATCTTGATTAGCTTTCGATAACTTGCAACAGCAATTTTGATTATGAATTTGTTTTATAAATTTCCAAGCTACTGGACTACAAAAATATAGATTTTAGAAAAATGTTTATGTTAAAGAAGATAAATACCTTAAGAGACTTTTAATATGTCAAAATATCACAAAAATATAAAATGCTTTAAAACTCAGTTTCCTTATGACTAACTGGTATAAAACAGAAAAACTGTATATTCCTTTTTTATGTCCTCAATAATGTATTTGTTATTTTTATTTTATGCTTCAAATATCAAACTCTTTTAAGTAAAATACATTTTCTGACATTCACATAATACTTTAACATGCGCTGGGGATTAAATACATTCTTTTGCAAAAAAATCAAAGCACCATGAAGAAAGTGGTTGGTTTTTTACGAAATTGAATATGTGTATAGCTCATACACAGATAATAAAATGATTAAAAAATCAAGGTCATAGTACTTGTTCATGGCTCAGAATCATCCATTGAGTGTTCAAATTAGTAGTTGATTGAACTGCCCCTGGCGGCAAAGCATGCTTGAATTCATCGAGGCAAGGAATGGTAGAGGTTCCTAATGTCATTCTGCCAGGCATTCATCAGTTGTCGCTCCAGATCTGTGATAATTTGCGGTGCCCGAATCTGGCGGCCTACTATGTCCCAGACATGCTTGATTGGTGAAAGGTCTGGAGACCTTGCTGGCCAAGGAAGAGTATCAACCATATGGAGACAGTCCAGAGATATTCAAGCGGTATGTGGCTTGGCATTATCTTGTTGGAAAATGGCCTCATGATGACGTGCCATGAAGGGTAATGCAACCGGCCGCAGGATGGTATCAACATATCGTTGAGGTGTAAGAAAGATGACTAAAGATGACCTGCTTTCATAAAAAATAGTGCCCCACACCAGGGGTTACGGCTGTATACCTTTGTAAAACAAAGGCTGAATAAGTTTGCTGGCCCCGTCCTCTCCAGACACGAACACAGTGGTCATCTACTTCAAGATCGAAGCGGAATTCATCGCTGAACACTATACAATGCCAGTCTGGTGATACCACTTCAGACGACTCCGCCAATGTTGTGGGGTGAAAGACAAACGCCTTAAAGACCTTTGTGAACGTAACCCCACCTCAGACAAGTGCCGTGAGATGGTGGACGGTACCATGGGAGGTATAGCCGTGGCTGTAGTGCATTGAATAGTCGACAATGATACCGTTGGGGCGGTTCGGGCCTGGCAAACAATCATCTTATATTGCCTCGCATTTGTGCTCCTTGGCCTTCCAGAGCCATTCATTTCATCGACAATTTCCTTTGTAGCAACCATTGCTGACAACATCTTTGAACAGCAATGTCTGTATGCTGCGGTGGCAGCCTATTTGCTCAGTATGACCACACAGCTTCACACAACCCTAAAGTGCAAACAGGTTCAAAGTCGTTGTCTGTTAGGTCTTCGATATCATCATAATGGCATCTTTAGTTGCTTCTTTACGGAATTACATAGGCAGGAAAAAAAAAAAAAAAAAAAGGAAAGGAAAGGAAAGGCAATTTTTCCACTTCTGTTACTGGTTTTATACTTTGCGAATTGCACACTAGAAATGTGCATTATGATCGCAATTCCTGTTCATATGCCTTGAAACTTTGATCATTTGCATGTTCGACCAAGATGTTTTTGCATACCAAATTTCGTCACGATTGCAAAAGTCCTTTTTGGTGCTTCGATATTTTTGCAAAAGAGTATAAATCACTATTTTTAGCTGTTTCTTTTTTTCCACAAACATAAAAATAACATCAGTAATTAACAGAGTTGTATTGAAAAAATATCAAAATAAAGTTCTTGCTCTTTTTTAGATAAATTTTATTTAGCAACATTTATATTGATGACAAAATGTAATACAAATTTATGAATGAAAATTTTTGTTGTACAGTGCATATACTGAATGAAACATAGCTAACTTTTATTTCTTAATCTAATCCAAAATAAAAGGAGAGAAGAATGAAGAGTGGTCACTAATTTTAAAACAGTTTAATCACACAGAAAAAGCATCAATAATGCTTTTAATTGGTATTTCAATATATTTTGGATTTCCTTGCAATGTGCAAATTTCAGGTATTTGTGAATTTAGATCAGTTAGTTATTTTAACTGTTTCAACAAATGAAGCCCTGCTGGTATGCACAGTAAGACAATCAACACTGCAATCTGATGACAATGAAGTTAGTGCTTAAATATAAAATGGATAGTTGTAATTTATTATATTATCAGATAATTATTAAATTAGGTAAGATTGCTAAGAGGGGTATTAAATGCTCTGCCAAAATATATTTAATATAAAATGTGAATTTGATAATGAATGTATCCAAAAATATGTTTTAAGTCAAAAGTTTGCAACCGATGGCTAAATGTAAACATACATTTATGCACATTAAAATATTTGTAATTTCGCACATAGGACAAATTTTTTAAATAGGGTAAAGCATGCAAGGGCCATCTGTTAAAGGGAAACTATGCCTAAAGTTATCCCAAAAGCACCTTCTGTTAATGAATTGGATTTTCTTGAAGTTTTTCATATTCACAATGATTTATCTTGCTTAGTTAATGACTTAAATTCCAATCCAGTCCTTCATAATACTTTCAAAATCCTGTCAACTTAATTTTTCAATTTTCATTATTATTTCTACTGACAGATGGCAATACCTTCTCATTCGTTTTACTTTCTGTGGATATAAGTACAACTGTGATTTTCCCTTTGTTGTAAATTTCTTTCCTTCTGATGAAGGACCTGTGCCTGTTTGCTGTTAAAATCAACAGAGGAATACACAAGTAAAATTTTGAAAAGATAGCACTTTACCGTTTTAATTCTGTGCGTGTGTCTGAAGCAGGCTCACTGAAACAATAGAGTTTCAAAAAGAGCGCTGAAGCAAGTATTGCTGGGAAGCACATAATACAGTAAAATATTTTGCATACAATTAAAAACATTATATTCTGATTACCGTAGCAGATTTAGCATTACCCAGATGCACCATGGGGAGACCTGCTACTCTACACCTCCTAAAAAGCTCTTCTTACATGAACATGCTGAGCTTACATGAACATGAATGAAAAAAAGGTAACTCAGCTATATGATATTTACATAACATATTTACACTTTTGTATATATTTTTTTCAAGGTCATACATTTCGAAGCAAGTTACAGCACCTTTAAAAAAGCACAACCCAACATTGCATGTTTTTCACATGTACCGGGATCCGTATCAGATTCACTATCCGAAGAATATTTGTTTAGCACTTTAAGTGCTTCAGAAATGGTCAGCGCTCTCTGATCCATTTGCAAAATAATTAAAAAATCTAATATTATATCATATGTACAGTTAAGAAAATATAAACTATAAAAAAATTTAATAAACATCTACATCTCAAAAATAGCAAAATGTAGAGGTAACAAAACTTCTTTCAACAAAAGCAGAAGAAAAAAAAAAAACAGAGAACTGCTTTAGTGACAAACAAAATAGCTGACTGATAACATTTCGCCCAACCTTTAGAAAAACACTCCAACAATTTCTTAGTTCATAACCAAACTTCCCCCTCCAAAAAAACGAAGGGAAAAAAACACAGAAGTGGACCCACCTTTCTATTGAGAATGAGGTCACCATACAAAATACTTCACTGAAACAAAGATAAAACTGTTAGTCTGGTCCTGGTGTTTCAGTGATCCCACTCTGGGCAAAACAGATGTTCGCCATTCGATTTTAGGCAAAATTTCAAGGTAAAAATTAAACTAATATAGAATAAAGAGATCAGCATATAGCCGAGAAAATAAAATAGAAATTTCTTTTCAAACAATTCCTTTTATATCTTTTTTTTTTTTGTTGTTGTTGTTTTTTGAAAAATGAGCGTCTTTGAAAAATAAATATGGCTAAAATGTATGGACTGGTTTGTGTTGTGCTGCCATCTAGTATAAATAAAGAAGGTTCAAGGTAACCTATAAATCCTTTTCCATTTAATTTTCCTGTGTGTATACAGAGAATATTTTAGGTGTGCGCAGAGTGGGCACACTGTGCCAGAAAGGGTTAAACCATTAACATAAATCAGGTACAACATTTCCAAATATTTTGCGAAATAACTACTGCAAACTGTCTGTTAAGATGCACCAAAAAAAAATTACATTTTATTAAACACTATTATACTTACGCTATTTTTGATGGGAAATACAGCATCAGAGGTACAATAGGAGAATCTTCATTACCATAAATAATAAATCCTTTCTGCTTTAATTTTTTACGAAAATAATGTGTATTCCTTCTGAGTTGCTGAATTCTCTTTATTCCTATAATAAAAAGGGGGACAAAGATCTATGAATGAACATGGGGAAGTCTGAGCATTTTTCGTTTCATTACTACAAAAAGTTTTATTTTTCAAAAAATATTCTGCAGATTAAGAAATCATTCCCATAGCATTATACTAGACTTTAAAAAGGTTCTTTTCTGTTAATGAGATGCAGCAGTAATTAATTGTTTGCGAAAGTGTGAAACATGGTAGCCATGATATGTACGAATAGCAGGCACCACATAATGTGATCACATCTGTTGACAGCTATTTATACAACTTTAACCGAATGATAACATTCAATAACGGGGAAAAATATACTTCAAAATAACAATGGGATTTAATTTTACATGAAAATATCAAACACATATAAATAGGCATTTTCACAGCTTTTTATTTAGAAAAATGCAAAAGTTTGTATATGAACTGTTTGTAAAACATTTTTGGTAATTATTCAACTGATGCTGTATCTCTAACTGAAGTCATGCCTCATTCAAAGAGAACATGTTAGTGAAAAATTTCAAGTTAAGCAAAAAAGCTATTTTAGTTTGTCATATATGTTTATAGGGACCGCGTTACTCTCCTTGCGACATCTGCAGGATAGGAAATTGCATTACTCTATTTGCTACATCTGCAAATGGTAAATAAAACTTTAATTTTTTGAGTGAAATGGTGGTACAGTGGGCTAATTTTGTACTGTAAATTGTCGAACATCAATGAGGTACTATGTAAGTGGTCATTTGTTAGGTTTGTATGTTTACATCACATTGGCCACTATTTGTTATGTAGAATTAATATGGAAGTACTGATGAAGAAAAATATGTTCAAAACAAATTTTATTTACATAGAAAAAGTTCTTAAACCAAAGTAACTAAATGTTTTTAGGTGATATAAAATTCTATGTCAGGCTGGTTTCCAACATTTCTGGGATTACCTTCATCTTAAAAAGAATGAATGGAGTTTCAGATTATTGTCACGAGCAAAAAAGTGAATTTGAGCAGTCAATAAAAAGGGGATGTAAAAGATAAAATGTGCTGCAATGAATTAGAATATGAAGTTAATACATGCATAAGGTTCAGGACTGCTTTCTCATTTTTCCTCTGGATGGACCAGGTTGGTCATCCAGAGGGTTGGTATATCATCTTTCTGGTTATAGTGTCTTATGGGTCTTGTGCTGATGGAGTTGGATGGAATGTGTTATATCCATCAGTAGTTCACACACTGAAGTCTGCATTATAATAAACCATTTAAGAAAGTGCTTCTTCATTAAGAGTCAGAATTGATTGGATGGTGGAGAACATTTCAAAATGCATGCTTCTGTGAATGATGAGCAAAATCCTAATGAATTCAGCACATCAAGTAACCTGCACAATCTATACTTTCTGTACAAAAGTGCTGAAATGTGAAAACTGATTGCATTGCTGCAATTTCTCCTCTAAACTTATAAAAACAGTAATTTTATCTGTTACCAATTTGAGTATCAAAAGCCTGCCTTTGAACTTATCAGGGCTGTTGAGTCGATAGGGAAAATGACCGACTCTGACTGCTTCATATATATGTAAACTCCTTCATATATATATGTAAACATATACACATGAGTACAGCTTATTTTTTAATATAAAAGAAGATGCTACAGAAAGAAATTGATGCACAGCAAATTTTTTATATTAATTAGCATTTATTATGAAATGGAAAAACTGGCATTAGTAATTTCTAAGAAACGGTAAAACTTCGGGAAGATCTTGTTTGTTAGAGGACCATAGATCCGATTTGATAAACTTCTGAATTGAGAAGAGTCTTTCCACACTGACTTGAGTAGGAAGAAGAGCTGTCACTGTTAGGGCTACTTCCTTTTAACTTCTCAGGATAGATTTTTATAAGTTCTAAAAGAGGGGTCTTGCAAGAGCAATCATATTTATCTATTTCTTCAAAGGCCATGTATAAATCTTGTTTGTATTTTTTAACTTTTATATCTAAAGGCTCTTGGTTATTTATTTTTATTCGCTTGCCTTAGCCTTTTCTTCAATATTATCCAAATATTTCTCAAAATCTAATTCATCAATGGAAGAGGATGATAGAGACTCAGTTGCAATATCTGCAGTTTGACTGTCCTGATTTGAATACTCCAGGTGTTCTGAGAATAATTTCATTCTTAATGAAAGTTCATAGATGGCTTTCTTTGCCTTTTTAATTTGTTTGTCATCCAACAAAATTCAGTGTTCTGGATCTACATATATTAAACCCAGCACGGCCTTATTGTCTAGCAAACTAATTTCTCTTTTCTTCATTGAAGAAATGATTCCTTCTGCAATAAAACCTTTGTTTCAGAAAGAACAAACATCACATTTTTCCATTCTTGCCTCTTGTTAATTCTTCAGATTGTAGCTTTTTGGTGGCTATATATGGTATAGAAAGAAGAGTTTCCAATTCTGCAAGATCATTCAACAGTCTAACAGAAGTTAGTGAAATATTAGAGTTATTTACATTTTCTGAAAAAGTTCTTAATCCTAATAACCACTATATCTCCATTGCATTGCTCCTTTTCCCGCTCGCTTCTTAAGAATGGCATCAATTTTGGGAGTTCTTGCTGCTTACCTAAATTTACCAATGAGATTAGTAACTAAATGAATCAATTATCACGTCAATCCTGCTTCATTATATTTATTTACTAATATGTCAATAAAATGGAAAATAACTATTTATTAACCCCTTAACTGCCGCGGGCGTATATATACGCCTTGCTCAGCCGATGCGTTAACTGCCCCAGGCGTATATATACGTCCTTCCAAACTGCTATCATTTGCTTTGCGCTGCTACACCTAAAATTATTCGCAAAGTTAACACATCGGCTGTGCATCTGGGGCAGTTAACGCATCGGCCGAGCAAGGCGTATATATACGCCCGCGGCAGTTAAGGGGTTAATGTATATAATCCATAAATAAAAATATTAACTCAGTTTGTCTTTTTTTTTTTTTTTTTCAATTCACTTTAATTTCATTTCAAACTGTTCAACAAAGTGGAGTAGAAGTCGACTTGGTTTTTAGCGACTACAACTCCGACTCCTTTTACCCAAAAATCTACTCGACTCCGACTCCAAAGCCCTGGAATTTATATAAGAAAAAAGAAAAGAAAAATTGCATTTCAGTTGCAGCCATATTTTGGAGGCCTTAAGCATGCTAGTAAAACATCTGATTCGATTGTTAAATCCCGTCAAATGTGAAAGTTGGTGGGAATTTCACCAATCACTTTCGCAGAAATTTAAATGAGCAGATGTTTATTTATTTAATTGGATAATAAAGTGATATATATTACAGGGTTCACAACCATATTTTAGTTAAAAAAATAAGCACCTATAAGCACTTTTCAAGCACATTTTAAGAAAAAAAAATAAGCACCTGTCTAATTACATTATACACAACTGCATAACCTTAAAAATTAGACTTGTAATTTAAAATATGAGAATGCAGTATTTATTAAGAGAGAAAAGCATTACCTCAACCATGGAAAATAATTACTTTTCTTTTTAAATTTTAAATAACAGTTTAATTTACAGAACTAGTTTACATGAGAGAAAAAAAAAACTATGCTAACTAATATTAAGATTTAATGTTGAAATTTCAGTTCAAAATAAAAAATAAATAATAATAAACGCTATTTATTGTATTCGCTTGGGAGCCTAATAAAAAATACAATTTATTTTTCCACTCATATTGATATTTAAATAATTTAAATCTAAATTCTGAACATTTTCTAAATTTTCATTGTATAGTCAAAAGTCATTAATCCGGACTCGTCGGGACTTCGGCGATTCCGGATTATCGATTTTTCCGGATTATAGATCATCAGTTTAAATCTGGTAAGATGGCATGCAGAAATTACAAAATTAAAAATATGAAACCGTAATTTATGAAAATAAAGAGCAATTATGATCTAAAGGGTATCAAAATTTACAAAAAAAAAAAGCTAAATATTTATTTGGTTACTTTATTAACATTTCTTTCAATGTAAGTTGTTAATTTGCTCCGTTTCATGTATTACTTTCTCTTTAATTCTATTAAACAGACATAATTTCTTGTTTAATTACAAAGTTCCGCGTTTAAGTCCTATAATTGCTGTGTCGAAGTACCGACTATTTGTCATCGAATTTTTTCATTTTCAATAACCTTTGAGTCACTTTCTTCACTACGGAGACGAATTTAAAGACGAGGAACTTGATTTAAATCATATCAAAGACGAGTACATCGAGATGAAATACTACACTTGTAAGGAATTATAAGCCAAATAAAATAAAACATCTGCCTGAAATAAGGATAGTGTGACAGACAACTTCCAATCCGCAGCGTGAAATTGATAAACAGATTCGGATTCAAAACATACTTTCGCTTTTGTAGTACAAATTACATATTAGTAATATATATCAGAAATTCTATTTGACATAATCGAAAGTTCAAGCTTACTTTTATGAAATTGCTCTAACAGTCCACAAAAAATAATAAGCCGGATCCAATTCGAAGATTAAGGAACAAAGCAATCTGCAACATTAACTGAATTAAATAATTTTTGCTTAGATTATACCGTCCGTTACACATTAAACACGCATGAAAAAACATATTCGCAGCCGTAAAGGTCTTACGCGCACTCGTAAACGCCTGTGCGCATTCGTGAACGCGACACATGCGCAAAAAGTTTGCAGCTTTAAGGTCCGGATTATGGGTGTCTGAATTAACGACTTTATCAGTTTTCCCTTAACAGATATTGCAAGTAATTTAAGTAAAAAAGCGGAACATTTCTGAAATCAGAAGACAGAAATTTGCTTCATGCAGTCATCCTTTAACAGTAAAAGCTTAACTAACCCGTATACTTTGAAATTGGTCAATATTCGGACAGTCGAGCGTAACTTGAAAAAGAGAAGAGGGGGGGGGTAGACTGTAGCCGCTCTTTAGATTTTTCTGCTAAATAAGTGCTTTTGACATTTCGATATGTGCATCATATAAAAATAAACCAATGGAGCTGAAAAATATTCTGCTTAGCAAGCATAGTAAAACTCTCTTAAGTGTTCATAAACAAATCTCGGACAGAACATCAAAATTAATCATCTCTGCAATATCGCAAACGTTATTGCGCAATATGTGTGACGTAATTCTTCCCTATGTGATATTATGCAATCGAAATCAACAGCTGCCGGTATTGGGAGAATAAAGAACTAAATAACTTTGGTGTTTTTCATTCTAATTTTCAACAGACGGCGTTAAATTTCCAGAATAGAATCATTCTTCGCTTGGGTTGGTAGACCGTAGAACTTTTAGTCCTATTCAATCCAGATTGGAAACTGAAAAAAAAAAAATGTCTGTAGCTTGTTTTGCAGTGAACTGTAACAGTTTCAATACTCGAGATTTTGCGGAGAAAGGGGAGAACCTCCCAATCTTCGTACTGTATAATGAACTGGCCAAAAAAAATTAAATTATTTTGACTATTCGATTACTTTCCCTTTATTTAAGCCATTCCGAATATTATTCCTTAGAAAGCTAAATCTGTGTTAAAACACAACCATTTTTGGAAGTTTACTATACTTCAGCAGTTACTGCAACTATGTTATTATAAACATTCATAGATAAGCTCATAATATAAGCATAATGATGATAATAAACATGAATATGAACTGACCAAATGGAATAAGAGTGCAAATTATTAAGATCTTGATAGAAATTCAAACGTGCTTAGTATTTGGGTGGGCGGAAAAGAATGCCGAATGTACCGGAATTTTCTACTGCTTCCGCAATTCTTTGACCAACGTCGGGCACCTATCTGTACTCTTCGTGCACACCAAGGTTATGTAAATGCAGAGAAAGGGGGAAAAGCTATTTCCGGGAGTATGATTCATCATCTGACATTCCATATTAGGAAGAAAAGTTGTTTATTTAGCTTCGGCTTTGGTACCGGGAAAATAGTGCGTTCATTAAAAAAAAAAAAAAAAAAACACTAAAAGCAAAAAATAAGGGCTTTAAAGAAAAAGTAAGCACCTAAAAGGGCCTTTATATTTTATTTTTATTTTCAAATATAAAGACTTATAAGCACTTATAAGGACCGCTACAAACCCTGTATTATGTATATAGTATATAAAAACCTTAAATGGCTCAAAATTTTTCACGTTACACTGCTGTTGTTTATCCGTTTTCAGAATTGTATATTATGGCTTTGTGCGACGTTTGGATCATATAACTCTGAAAATACTTCATTTCATGCTGTCCCAAATAATAAATCCTCTTTTCAAAATGCTAAGAAAAAAATACAAAATTTTGTAAAAAAAAAAAAAAAATTATTTTTTACAGAAATTAAACTGGCTTATAAAGAATAACTCAGTTCACATTATTCCAAAGCAAATATGTCTTGATTCTATAGTTAAGTCACACTCATCTATTATTGGTACTAAATCACACCTCTTGGCAACAACGTGTTAGTAGTACTACAAGTTCTATAATAATGTTATATCCTTTCATTTTAAAATTTTGTTGGCAGAAATTTTTTCTTCTACAATTAAAAAGTATTCTGGTTCTTTAAGGTTTGTGGTAAGTTGAATGCCAGATAGTCATATTTTTACTGAATTCAGAAGTCGGTTATATTCAATGACTATTGCAAAGAAAGTAAGCAAAATCTTACCATCATCAGTTCCATCTTTACCCATTATGATTTGCATAGCCATTAAAATCTGTTCGACAATAGGAGCAGACATACTGGTTGCACACATAAAGCTATGGCAATTCATTCTCAAATGACTAATTAATTTCTAGAAAATAAAAAAAAACAATATTCTAATTAACATTATGCAGGCATAAATAAATCACTTCAAACAACTATTTAAAAATAATGATATATTTTGAAATTATAACATAATTATAAAACTGATGAGTACACTACAAAACCTGAGATCCAGAATCATTGAGACTTCAGCAGTTCCATTAATTTCTGCTTTTGGATTTGTGTGATTATGGCAAAGCCTCGAGAGCTATCTGCCTAACAGAAGGGTTGCCTTTGTAGAGGATTTTTTAAGGAAAACTGGCTCGTATACACATTACACATTGGGAAATGTATAGAACAGTACTCATAAGTCTTAAAATTAAGCACACAAGCATTTTCTGTCATTTCATAAAATCACCAACCAGTTGGCAATTTTTCTCAGGGACAGGGATGATTTGAAAGTACTTTAAAGTTTAATCTAAAACATAGGATAGCCTCCTGATTACCCATCTAAAAGCTTTCTGTTTGCTTTTAGGTGGGTAATCAGGGGTATACGAAGCTTTCTTTCATCTCTGATGACCTTGGTTTTTAGAAGTGTTAGGATTTTAAAAATCATATTCAATAGTATACTGCTTTCTTTCACCTCCGATGACCTCTCATGTTTGACCTCTGATGACCTTGGTTTTTAGAAGTGTTAGGATTTTAAAAATCATATTCAATAGTATACTGCTTTCTTTCACCTCCGATGACCTCTCATGTTTGACCTCTGATGTTTGGTTTTTGTAACTGTTAAGAATTTTTAAAATCATATTTAGAAATGAACTATCCAATCCTTCTACCCAAAGAGTATTAATACTGATGTAGACATTCAACACAGTTATGAATAGCAACTATAGCAAAGCCTTCACAGAGTTATAACGGATAGAAACAGTTTTTTGAAAAATTATCATTTATTACATGAAAGACTCACAAATTTTTCCCTCCTATTTCTTGGATTATAAGAATATACCCATTTTAATAAAACAACCCGCTTTCATTAATAAATAGTTACATACCCAGTATATAGCCTACAGCGGCAAATTTTTGAAGGAGGAAATTTTTCCATGGCCACTAAAAACAGAGTATCAGCTTTGCCGAATTTCTTACTTCTCTTCTTCATAACAGTAAAGCGTGGCAGCAGCACCAGCCAGTTGTCTCTCTCCCACATCTCATTGGCATAGTATTGTCTCGCTTGGTTTTGTGATTCACTGCAGAGGGAAGCACACATGGTAGTAAGAGGTGGTGCTGCCTGCCTCATTCTGCAGTATCATTTGCAGTTTTTATATTTAAATATATACACTCGAATCTACATGTGTAGTTTGAAAGTACAGTGAACAATAATATAAAAAGGGCCTACTGCAGGTTATACACACCAATTATTTAATTGATTATCTGAGAATGGAATTGTAAGTATATCTGATTTGCTCATTTTTCATTATAAATAACCAATTGTTGATTCAAAAGATATTTTACGCATTTATACATTCATCCTTTGCTACCAAAATATATGATATTATTGCAAGTCAGAGTTATAATAATTAGAAACAATGTTCTACTGCAGTTTTTTTATTATCAGCTTCTCTGTTCATATCAGATTTATTCATTTCAGTTTTATTGTTTCTGGTTTCTTTTCTTTCTTCTTTTACTTTCCTATATTATATATCTAATATGTACAAATGGCAGATAGTAGAAAGGGTTTATGGAGATGGGAACTTAAAAAAAAGAAGAAGGAGGAGGGAGTTAGATTAGAAAAAAAGAACACAAAAGGAAAACTAAAAAAATTGATTGCATCTTCATCAAGAGTGTTTGTTCTGAAACCATTGATTAAAGAATTCAAAGATAATGTACCGAGTACATCAAAGGAGACAAGTGTTCTTTGGTTTTGTATGATGATAAATGTGCTGGAGAAAACCATGATGAACGAGAAAAGAAAAGATCAACTAATATTACTGTCTGAGTTTTTTAAATTTGACAAAGACCCTACAAAGAGGATTATTAATGATGAACTCATAGATTTTGTTGTGCAAAATGACTGTTCTCAAAATGCCGATTCGGATTTTCAGAATTCGAGACAAGTTTACAAAGATCATACACGTTATTTTGAGTTCACTAATGTTCAGAAGAGAGTTTCCGAATAGTGAAGTTTCAAACTTACAATGGATAATCTGTTCTGAAATAAATGACAGATTTGACTGTGGGTCTTGTCATTTATTACCCAAAGCAGGTACATCCTTTTGCACAGATAAAGGATTCAGGAATTGGAAAAACCTGAAATACATAAAGAACAGCACAAACGATCTATAAACCACAAAAATTCTGCGGTTCTCAGAGCAAGGGCTTGCAATAAGTATTTAAATAACATGCTAAGTGCAGAGATTATTGGGTGGGGGGAATATTGGCAGAAGTTTTACAAAGCATTATATATTGTATTATTATATTACCTTGTCATTATAACAAGTTCATAATCTTCAGTTGAGAGGTGCTGACAAAGTTCTTGGATCATTTCACAATCGAAACTTTATAATGGCAGTGGAACTATTGGCTGAATATGATCCATTCTTGAAGAAACAACTGAAGAATTATGGGAGACTGGGTAGCAGTAAAAAATAATTGTCTTTCATCTGTGATGCACAAAGAAGTGGTACACATAATGGCTCATAAATGCAGAGCCATCATATCTGCCAATGTAAGGCCAGTTAAGCATTTCTCCATAACTGTGGATTCAACACCAAACATCTCACAGTTATCAATCATCGTGAGATACAAGAATGTGGAACACCAACAAAGCTATTCTTAACATTCGTATCAAACACTGGACACAAACCCCAAAAATCATACACTGCTATAAATAACACCTTGACATCTCTTGAAATTGATTTAGATGATTGTAGATGCCAATCGTATATGATAAAACTGCAAACATGTCAGGAGCCCCTACCGGCCTTCAAGCAAGAATTAAGCATGCAAACAAATCTGCTGAATTTATATCGTATTCAGCCCCAGCCCATTTGGAGAATCTAGATAGAGCTTCAACGGTTAGTTGTAATGAATCTACAAACTTTTTACATTTCTGCAAGAAATCTACATTTTTTCAGCATCCACAATGTGGTGGGGGAAGAACAGTGTACAAATAATGCTAAAGAGTCTGTTATCCACAAGACAGCCATGTGGAGATGATGCCTGCAAGGGTTTACTGATGTCTTTGAAAGATAGTCACAATACTTTGAAATCAATCTCAACTAACAGTTCAGAGAAGACGATTACAAAGGCAGAAGCAGCACAATTAATCAAGAAATTGACCAGATTTGAAACTACATTTATGACCATTTTTTGGAGTAGTATTTAGAACTGAAACAATGTAGTTAGTAAAAAAAAAAAAAAAAAAAAAACCACCTACAATTGGAAGACGCATATATTAGATAAGTCTCTGATCTGTGTTAATCCTAAACTTATTTCATCTTCTTGGAAAACTTCACAATTTATGAAAAAGAGGCCAAGGTGATGGTAGGTAAGCAGAACTAGACTGCAAGTAAAAAGCATACCAGAAAGAGAAAGCGACGATCATGAAGTTCTGTTCGATGCTAAGAATGATTCCAAAGTAAATGCATTGCTTACAATTATGCATTTATTAATTTTGAACTGGACTGTCAAAAATGTTCATATAACAGCGTGTTTGAAATTTTCTATATTCTCTTCCAATTTCGTGAACTCTCTGTTGAAGAAATAAGCGAAGCATTAAAATTATGTGAAGTTTATTCACAGGATATTTCAGATGATCTAGTTGAAGAGATCTCACACTTTAAAGAGTATCTGGCTCAAGAAGAAAAACTACATGAATATCAAGCACGTGTGCAACTAGATTATAGACTGAAATTTGGTTGATATTTTTCCTGATATCGATACAGTTTTAAGAATTTACAAATCAATGGCAGTAAGCAATTTTTTTTTTTTTAAACATTCATTCTCATGTTCCAAAAAAATACTTATGCTCAAGTATGTTCAAAAGCAGAATGAATGATTTAACAGTTTTATCAGTTGAAACTAACATTGTGAATTCAATTTCATTTGATAATAGGTTTGAAATTTTTGATGAGAATAAACTCAGGAGAAAAGTGTGAAAGGAAAGGTGATTTTTATTTAGTTGAAAATCTATAATAAGTAAATATGTTATAATATACGAGTTTTTATATTCTGTCGGGATGAAGTTTTTGTCACATCATGTGATTCTAATAAATGTTGCATAGACTTTGTATTCCTTATTTTATGACCTATTTTTAGTTTTGTAAGAATATAGCATAGGGGTGATTTGGTATTGAATATAAATGGTTTGGAAACAGTGTTTTAGACATTTTTACAACCCTAAAATAAAGCAAGCTGCTGATAAAAAGATCGAACTAGCTAATGGAAAAAGCATGTTTTTTCATAACAACTCAAACAACACAAGAAATGCAGTAAATTAAGACAATTTAAATGGAAAATTACTTGCTTATCATTTGATTTGACCTGGCACTATCAAACGCCATTTCCCCCCCCCCCTTAAACCAGCACTTGAATAACAAACTGGGAACCAATAAGTGGATTTTTTTTCTTCAATCTCAAATTCAAGGCTTCAGGAAAAATTGCATTTCAAGCTATTGAGACTTTAAGACTAATGGAAAAAATCTGATATGGACACCATATGACTTTAGAATAATAATTTGACTTATATTGCTTATTAAATAATACAAATTTTTTACTGCAATTAATTTAAACTTATTTTAACTATTCTTACCTTAATTGACTGTCCCTCAGAGCAAGTTGAAAACGAGGGCAAAAAGTGCAAATTTTGAAATTAAATACCTCAGTCATTTGTTGCTGTATGAGAGGGGGAAAAATACTCACTGTATTTTTATTTCTTCATAACGAGTATAAAACTTTCCCAGATAAAAGTACAGAAATCAGAAGACCGCAATAATAGTTAGATTTCTTTATTTGCCCAAAATTATTTTTAATTTGACATCGTCAAAACATGAATATTTTCATTGTTTAAATTACTTTTGCAATTAGAAATGTGACAATCTTTTATATCACAAAAGATTGGAAAAATAAAAGTTGGTAGGGACTTTTAAGCCAGTTGTAATGGAAAAGGGAGGTGCATAACTAGATGTTATAACAGTCCCACAAACATAATTTCAACATTCTACAGTTAATCATTTTTTGAGCTATGCAGGATATGTATGTATTCTTCATGCAAAAAATTAGTTAAAATAGATACTTTCATTGAAATATGATAGCAAAAATTTTTAGTGTTTACAATGCCTACTTTGCTTCATACAAGGATGTAAAAAGGGGTGTTTATTCATTCTCTGGTAGTCTTCAAGTGCCGATGAACATAAACCATTCCTATACGGTGGCTAAAATAAGTTGTACAGAAATAACTAACTTATTTATAACGGGGAAAAGATTGTTTTATGTAGATGCCAGCCCACTACAGGATTCCAAGCAAAGAGAATGCACATTTTTAAAATTTAAAACTAGTATTTTAGTGGTGGCGTTTAAGAAAAATAATTAAAAGCAGTTTATCGCAAACAACATTACCAAGAAATTAATGTGACATGTTACCTTAGATCCACCGATATAGCCACCAGCAGCTGCAAAACTTTTTGTAAAAGTTCCCATAAGCAAATCAATGTCTTTAGGATCACATCCAAAATAATCTGTAACTCCGCCTCCTCTTGCACCAATTGCACCAATGCTGTGAGCCTCATCTACATACAAGTAACAACGGTATTTCTTTTTGAGGGAAATTAATGCAGGAAGATTGACGATTGTGCCTTCCATACTAGCAGAAATAAAACAGCATATTTTAAAACTCATAATTTTGCTATAAAATCAAGCATATTCCGAATATTTAAAATATGTGATTTATGCACTGCAGAAGAAAAATTTGCATTTTCAAAAATCTATAAATAAATCAACACATTTTTTTGCCAGTGAAAATGATATTTCCATCCTTAGAAGCCAGGTTACAAAATTTTGGTTTAATGGTTAAACATGTTCCTTGTATTTTAACTAGGAAAACTAGAAAAAATGAAAAAACAATTTATTTTTACAATACATCTTTCTTATGGTCTAGAGTGACAGTGGCACATCAAGTGCAACCTATGATACGTTTGCCATTGATTAACATGTCTGAATATTTTATTCCTACCATTTAAAAATTCTGAAGCAAAATAAAAATTATAAAAAATATGTATCTACACATCGAATGCTCAACTCTTAAAAATTATACCATGCAGCAAATTATGCTCTAGAGGTCTAGAGCAACAGCGACCCATCAGGTACAACCTATCATACATGTGCCACTGATTAACGTGTCTGATCATTTTATTCCTACCATTTCAAAATTCTGAAGCAAAACAAAAATTATAAAAAATATGTATGCACACTATGCAAAAAAAAAAAAAAAAAAAAAAAGGTACAGTTCTATATCTCCCATTCTACTGGGCTAATTGAAGAAATTTAAATTGCGTTATTCATGTCTCGAAAGCACAACTTAGGATATATAATAGATTTATATTTAGCATTGTTCTAACATAGGTATTTTGACACAAAATCGGACTTTTTCTGAAATAACGTACCAAATTTTTTCCATATTTCGATTCTAGGACTCAAATTACGCCTAGATATTAAATTTTGTAAAATTTGGTGCACAATTTCAGGAGAAATTAAAAAATTTATCTTGGTGCAATTTTTTTCAGTTTGCACCAAGAACAATTCACTTGGTAACAGGGGCATAGCTAGAGTTCCCAGCACCCGTGGACATCTGAAGAATTTGTGCCCCTTTCTGTGTGCCAAGAATGGAAAACATTTCATTAAAAAATTTTGTAGCATCAGTTTGGTGCCCCTTGGATGCTGCGCCCGGAGACAGATGTCCCCCCTTGCTCCACCCTAGCTACACCACTGCTTGGTGAACTTCTTAATATATGGCAACCTATTTTCCTTTCCCTTCCATTATGCCAAAGCAGAAAATAGGCACCTCATTCCTACCTTTTTACACTGTGCATGAGCAAAATAAAATCCCATCATCCTTACTTTGAAATAATTTTAACAAAGTGTCTAAACTACATTTAATGTTTTATCACTTTCAACAAATATACCAAATTTCAGAATGTGCCAATATATAAATTCTATATAATTATCTTCGGAAATTTTGAATAAAAAGCTATAATTTTTTGCAGGTATGCTTTGAAATATGGCTACTTTAAGATGGTGGTAAAAATTTTCTAGATAACAATTCATAAATTTTTTGAAAGATTTATAAAAATTATTTAAAAATACAAATTTTAAAAATAAATCATAAAAAAATGATGAATTTTAATTGGAATGAACCTGAATTTTGAAATGTGAAAGGAAGAATCAAATAAGTTTAACAAAAAAAGAGAGGTTAATAAGTATAATATATACCAAACTCAATTAATTTTGAGGAGTTAAAATTTTGAAGCTTTTTTTAAAAACTACTCGTGTGATTGTTACAAAACTTGGTAGTTTGGCATAATTTGAGTCTTAGACTGGAAAAAATTTCACATATTTCAGAAAATGTCTGATTTTGAGTCAAAATATTAGAACAACGCTATATATAAATCTAATACATATCCTAAGTCGTACTTTCGGGACATAAAAAATGCAAGTTCAGTTTCATCAATCGGCACAGTAGAACGGGAGATAACTGCCCCTTCCCTTTTTTTTCGCAGTATGTCTACACATCAAATGCTAAACTCTAAAGATTATATAACATAGCAAATTATATAAAATACATAGAAAAGCATGAAAATACAGAAATTTTAAACTCATTGCAAATGTAATGTCAGTTGCGCAGGAAACAGTATTGCATTACTATATATCACTTATGGTATATTTCACAGCACTTCAAGCAATATCCTTGTTTGCCTGGATATTCACACCTGGTATTTGTGCATAACCATCGGTAACTGTTCAGGTGCATAGTTGTCTTCTATGTCAGAATCCAACATTTCTATGGCTCCCACCACAATATCATTAACTCCTTTCAATCCACTGGTAGAACTCTTTATCATTTGTGTTCTGATAATCAGAAAGAACGCTCTTTTCTAATAATTCTAATAATATATAAGCATCAGTCAATTTTTCATTTACTTTCCTTTGGCTGTGAAGGTCCTGCCGTACTTTAACCATCTGTCATTTTTAAAACCACATACAAAAAAATTCATGCACAGAACCTGAAAAACCACGCATATAAAAAAGAATAATAATGCTTCACTAACATGCCTAAACAACTCTTCATTCAATTTTCAGTGCCACAATAAAAATTAAACATATAAATTATGATAGTCGACCGATGCGCGACAGCATCACTGGCATAAGAAGTGATGCTAGTCTGACATATGAAGTACGACTGTGTTTAATGTTATCATTTGATTACTGTTATTCAATTGCCGATGTCCCGTCTGTTCATATAAAAATTGCAGAAAATATTTATTTCCATGAACCAACAATTTGGTTAATATGATCACAGATATCATAGAATAATTTTTTTAAGTCAGTAAATAAAGTTAAAACTGATCATAGAATCTAGCAAGTGGCAGAGAAACATTGCAAAGAGATTAGATCACCAAACAGCTTGGTTTTGATTTTAATCAACCATTTAAAATTAAGCATAAAAAGCAACCTTAATTTAGTACAGATTTTGAATAATTCTATCGATTTTGAGGGGGGATTGGACATAGGTCCCTCTTCTTCAGGAGGAAAAAAAAAAATTCACGAAACATATAAATTTGATTTTGGAGCCTAATTTTTAATTTTATATTGGTATGTTCTTTTATAATGAGCGATGTCCTTTAAGTAGTAAGGAGCAGCATTGGTCATTTTCAGAAAACCTATAAACAGTTCATAAATGAACTTTTGCATTAAAGACACAAGTTATAAACAAATATTTGCCTTTTCCTAATTAAAATGCTGTGAAAATACCTATTTATATGCTTTTGGTTACATTAAATTGGTAAAACTCCATAGCTATTTTGAAGGGAATTTTTTTTCGCATTGATTAACATTATCAAAATAGTTATGGACAAATGCCATCAAACTGAGCGACATATAATGAATATATCTTCCACAATATGCAGACATATGCAACACACTTGAGTTTTACTGTAAAACTAAGTTACTAATAATTTTAAAAACCTGAGTCGTGCAAGAATTTTGTATTAATAGAGAAAATTTGCCCAAAAAAGAGTGAATAGTTGTCAATTTTAAAGCAATATAAAGAATTTTGTATTAATAGAGAACAAGCCAAAATTTGCCAAAAAAGAGTGAATAGATGCCAATTTTAAAACAATGTATACTAAATGTTACATTCATCTTTTCAATGATATTTGTAAGAAATTCATTAACATCTTGGTACAAAATTCAATTTTAGTTATTTGCAGCGATTCAAATACAAATCAGGAAAAAACAATTGATATTGTTACAGATATTTTAATCCTTATTGATTGTATTTTGGACTTTCAGTATTGTTACAGTTTTTGTATTTATTTAGTATGCTATTTTTAATAGAATTGTTATTAAAATTGTTTAATATTCCTATGCAATGCAGCACGAGACTTATTTGAAGAGAAAAATTAAAAATACAGGAGCACGGCCATTTAATAAACAGATATCGCATAATTGTACTCTTTTGCTTTCTAGAAAACTCAAGAAATTAAGAGAAGCTTCTCGTGCATTTAAAAAGCTTCAACAAAAGGAAAACATCTCAATTCAGTTGTTGTTTACTGTAGCTAATTCGCTGTTTTCTCTGTTTTGAATCAAGTTCTGTTGAACATTTTAGTAGTTTAAAAGATAACTACCGTGAGATTTTGTGATATTGTATGAATATCTCTAAGAACATGTAGGCATTTTGTATTTATTTGTTGTGATAAGAATAAATTTTCACTTTTCATCGGACATGTGCATAAAATTTACTATGAACCCGTATGCACGCAACAGTATTTTGCATTGTTTTATTTATTTTATTTAGTTATTGTTTTTACAATGGTAGTTTTATAATTTATTCTGCGTTTCACTGAATTTGTGGCCACATCTTATACTTAAGTGTTTATTTATTACACAGAATGAGATCTTTTCCCTGCAAGAGACTGTGGAATTAAAAAAAATAGCTGAACTAGAAGGCAAGATATAGATAATTTTGTTCCTGAAAGGCTTAGTAACATTTGGCAATTTCTTTGCAACTTCCTGGATGATTTACAAAACACTTTTGAAGACCTATGATCAATTCTTCCAAACGTTTCCATAGCCCATGCAGGGCATAAGTACGGGTTACAGAGCTAAGAAATTCAGTTAAGAATCAACAGTGAGATTTAGCAGTTAGCTCAATTACAGGTTAAGATTTACCCTGAGAGCAATTTGAGGAACTGAACAATTTATTTTGTGCGCTAAGAAGGAATTGCTACATATTTGCATTCTCTTTGAGTTATTTCCAGCGATTATTGTGCTGCATGTGTTACTTATGGTGCTTAATTTTATAATTAAATATTTTTTTCTTCCTGCTTATTTGAATTCATTATTTAAAGAAATAGCAATGATCTCTAGTTTACAGTTAATTAAGTAATGAGTTTATTACTTTAAAGTTTACTGTAAAAGAAGTTATTAAAGCGTTGTAAAGTTAATACAGTACAAAGTCCGTAATCTGGATGTCCATTATCCGGAATGATCTATAATCCAGACCTCAAAGCCACAAACTTTTTTTTTTTTTTTTTTTGTAAAGAATGCACATACATTACGCGCCCTATACTTCCACAGTCATAACACCTTGTTTTTTTACTCTTATTAGGTATAGCGCTGCTTTAGTTTGTGTGTTAGTACTTGAATAACCCTTATTATTCGTATCTGGAACGTGGATTTTCTCATAAATTTTTCATTTCTCTTTGAATTCAAAAATAGTTTTACACCCATACAAAATAATTTTGTTACTACTCTGATCCACTGATTACATAATCAAGAATTGATGAATCATCAACAGAACCGTGATTGGCTATTTCACGGATCGCAATTAAATATTCAGAAAGGGATTCACCAGGTCTTAAGTGTCGTTTAAGTCCAGACATAGTCTAAATGTACCGCATTTGTTTCTACTTAGCATGATATTACTTGTGCAATCACGACAGCTTGGCTTAATGATTTGTCTCTCTAACCATTCTGAAATCTGTTTATCAATTTCACGCTGCTGTGCCGTTGGGGGGAGGGGGTTGCAACGCTCAATGAACTGGAAGTTGATCTGTCAGCCCTATCCTCATCTTCAGAGCAGATGTTTTTATTTTATTTGGCTTATAATTTGTTACTAAATGTAGCATTTCATTTCATCTCGATGTACTCCGTCTTTGATATAATTTAAATCAATTTCCTTGTCATTATAAATATCACAAATACACATCAAATAGTTTTCTGGTTGCAATTTTCTAATTTCGACTATGTGTAATGTATGCTTTACACATGCACGCGTTGAAAGAAAGGTTTAATAAAGTAAAATAAATATTAAGCTCTTTTTTTTGTACATTCTGATACCCTTTAGATCATAAATTACAGTTTCATATTTTTAATAGTATAATTTCTGCATGCCATCTTACCAGATTTAAATTGATGATCTATAATCCGGAAAAAACCCTGATCCGGAATCGCTGGAGTCCTGATGAGTCCAGATTACGGACTTTGTACTGTATACAGTGAAGACCAACTCTGGTGCCTAATAAACTAATTTGCCTTCGACCGCAAGAAAAACATTGCATCATAGAGCAATAATCATCTTCAAATAATGATGTGGATTAACCTTAAAACACTGCTTAACCAATTGCTTGAACACAGAATAATGACTGTACTTATGTTACAGCCGCAAAAAACAACCATGTCTAGCAAATGATCATTTATTTAGCAGCAACTATTAAAAAAATTGATTAATTTGGTCATGTAAAGCATCACTAGGAAGAAAATCCAAACACTGTCACAAATCTAATAGTCCCTGTAAGTTTGAACTCAACGAAGATTAAGCAGTCATGTAAAAATCTATTTTCACCCTTTTAAAAAAGTGCACATGCAAGATCTTAAATAATAAAAATCAGATGATGAACTCATTCTGGTGAAGAAACACCAGTCATTTTCACACAGTACTGGAGTTCTTTACCCTGGGATGGGATAAGGAAGAAATGCATTTAGACATGACTCAGATAAGGAAGAAAAGAAATGTAGGCATGGGAAAGAAGAAAATACAGTCAAATTTCAAATACCTGGCCTCTCATAGTGAAAGAAGTTTCTTTTCTGGAGAAAGAATATACTAGAAGACAATAATACAAACTACTAGATATGACTACTTTAATTTAGGTTTTCCATAATAATTTGCCGACTTGAAGAAAATGCAAACACATTTAACACAGGCATTGTTGAAGACAGAAGACCAAAGCCCTTTTTCACCCATACAATCCACAGTCCAAGAGGAAGAAAACTGGTTCGACGACAATTTTAACTCGCTGAACAACTCTGAGGATAATTTAAAAATCGATGTGAATGCTTGTGTTCAACTCAATACAACATTCAAATAAATAAATAAAAATATGATTCATATCATAAACATGTAGTTAACTGCAAAACATATAAATACCTGTAGATTCCTTCCACAATAATAATAATTTTTTTCCATGGCCTGTGGGTGCGTGGTTGCCCTTCTACGATAGCGTCCCTGATTTTCACTTCAAGATCCTTCATATCTAAAATTAAACAGCAGAAATTATTAAGATGTTGTCTCCTTTTGTGCAATAAATATTAATTAACTAGGTGCTTATGCACATACTGATTTGAGTAAAATTGTAGTAATGTAACGTCAGTAGTGTCAGTGTTTATGCACATGTATGCATGTACTGAGTCAGTAGTAGCATATACATTTACTAATATTATTTAGCAAGGTGCTTATGTATGCAAGCACTGAGTACACGGACACTACACTACTACTGACTTGGTACACGCATACATGTGCATAAGTACCTAGTTAAATAATACTAGTAAATGTACACACTAGTATTGAAACACTAAGAATGTTTCTTTATTCCAAATATTTAGTATTATTTGCAATACTCTAAGAACTTTTCTTTTAATAGCCAATAGCTGCTTTATCATATTCCATTGCATCTCTCAAAATCTTGAAATTTTGTAAGCAAAGTTTGATTTGGAAGAGTATAAGGAATTTTATATGGTATAATACAGAATGAATAAATCTATTTCTGAACTGGCTGAATGTGATGTTCACAAGAACTGCTGTCATGATGCACAGGCAGGACTTGTTTAACTGCCACTCACTATTCTGCTAAGGTACTATCTAATGGAGACAAGCTGCCAACAAATATGCAAGGAAAATATTAGGAATCCCAGAATAAGCACAAAAATCTTATTTGATTTCTGCATTTAAGTAGGAAAAGAATTTTAAATATGACTCTCTTTTTTTTTCTTTTCAACTCTCTTTTCAACCACCTTAACAAAAGTCACCAAATTTTCAGGATGTGCCAAACTGCCAACTAGACGCATAATCATTCTTCAGGTAGCTATGCTATTAATAGTCCTTCAGTCAAGCAATGTTGACATTTTTCATATGCCTTCTTTTAGTTGCATTCTAAGTTCCAATAATTTTCATAAACAAACTGCAATATTTTTGCCTTAAAATTAATTTTAAAATATGCACTCACGGAATTTCCCAGCAATGAAACTGCAGTAAAATTTCCATAGAAATACAAAATTTTTTCGCAAAATCTCTGAAGAGAACAACACGGAGGTGCGTTTGGTAGACAGCAGGTGTCGACAAGGTTCTCCTGCAGTTCTAAAATATTTTCTACGTGAAAACAGATATAAATAAAAGAATAGCTCAAATAAATTACAAAAATATTTAGAGCAAATGTATTTCATTTTGGTACTATTTTTTGGTATTATTTCATTTGGTACATTTTGGTTTCGAGGGCCGTAAAAAAATTGCAGCGAAAATGTACGCGTAAAAGTGCCAAATCTAGCAAACACGCCCATTTAATAGCACGCCAAATCTAACGTACGTGCTTGATTTCAGATTGCGTAACTTTATACAGTTCTATATTTCTTAAGATGCCATTGACATACTAGTTTAATTTTTAAATATTTTTTTTTTTTTTGATAGCCTATGGATTTAAAAATTTGAAAATTGCCCATGACGAAAACTCGACAATAGAATTTTGGGTAAAGTGCAGAATCATGCGTTTTTAAGAATTGCACATACTCGGTATCCATATGCACATCGACCTATTTTCACTTAAAAAAATTCCTAGAATTGCACAAAAATGGCATGCGCACACCCTTTTTACTATATACACATCGATCTATTTTCACTTAAAAAGTAAAAGAAAATGACAAAATCCATTGTTTTTACCTTGTAAAAAGCGGCAAACAATAAGTGAGTGATTCTGCACTTTACCGAGAAATTTTCAAAGAAAAGGCATCATTCGTTATAGAAAATTACGTTTGAACAACCAACGAAATGAAATTATGCTTAGCGATAAGTGGTAGCGAAATAGCGATGCAGGTATCCATTCGGTTATGTTAGCAATTTTTATATAATTATATAATGACTGAAATAGTTATTTACTCTTATGCTTTATTCAGTCTGTTTAGCCTTTTCATATAAATTTAATAAAAAGTATTATATGAAATTACCTTTCTCTAAATTAAAACATCAATCTTAAATAGTAATTTACTATTATACTTCCTTTCTTGCCGCCATTATTTTTGGCAGCATTGGCATCAACAATAGTTTGGCGTTTTTTTACGGCCTTCGAAACTGAATAGTACCTTCATTTTTTAATGTATCACGTAATCCCTATTTAATAATTAAAATTTGTATTTTAATTTGCTAAAGCACGTTTTCTTTTCATATGTTTGTAATGTTTGCTGGCTTACAATAAATATAAATAGTTTGGGAATCTTTTTAAAAATAGAAATAAAAACCACCAACTTGCACCTGATGAACAACTTTTACCCTTTCAACCGCAAAAAACTGCCAAATTATAGCAGGGTGATTGCATTAATACACACCAGTACCATCTTTTTAATTGCAACAATTTATGGAGATCAATTTTTATATCTATATAAGAGTTAATTACCTGCATTAGTGGATACAAGTACTATTTTAGCATCTCCTATAATCTGTGAAGCTTACTACAGTAAATTTAAATATTTGTTTTCACTGAGTAAAACACATTTTATGACACTTAAAATAAATAGCCATTAACCACTTCATTGTTTTAAATCGACATACTCGTCGATTTAAAAAGTGTGTTGTAAAGTAGCAATGAGACACAATCGCTGGACTTAAATGTGGACAGGATTGTTAGCCCTGATGGAGAATTGTCGCTTCGTGTTTTCCAAACCCAAAAGAGGTTAAAATTAAATGAAAAGATTTATGGCCTAATTGGTCATGCTTTCTCTGCAGCAGGGTAGTATCAGAATCATACAAAGTGAAGTTGACTTAAACAGATGGAAAAAAGAATTTACTTCCATCCCCCTTTCAGCTAGGCTAGCATGGTAATGGGAACTACTACTCATTTGAAAGTATGCCTTTAAGTGATCATCTTTGTTAATTTTCAGATAACTACCAGGGAACATAAAAAAAAAATTTTCTCTTGGGCAAGGTGATGCTATTCAACGTTCCAAAGTGTGACAAGTAGGTGGTTTTCTAACTAGGTCTTGACAGCTGATGCAAAGGAAAAAAAAAAGTAATGCCAGTTTCAGAAGCAAAATACTTATCTTTGGAGAGGGGGGAAAAAAGTGAAGCAAATACAGTACAAAGTCTGTAATCCGGACGTCCATTATCCGGAATGAAGTAATTTCCTTTTTTAGAAATCATAGCCACAAACTTTTTTCTGTATGCTTTACGATGCGCATGATGCATTTACGCATGCGCGGTTAGCACAAAAAAACGAAGCAACTTACATTGAAAGAAA